CAATTCCAGCTATAGACTAAATTTTGATCTCGGCAAGAAGAACAAAACCCATCACCACAGCTAGAAAGAGCATGTTAAAATTAGTAAAATTGCAAAGTTTGGTTGTTGAATGTTGTAAAATGCGGAAAATATAGCCCTGCGAAAATTGCAAATTTTGTATTAATTTGTATTGCGCACGGGAAAATGCACCACATTTGGACCAAAGATATCTCATATTTGGACCGAAAGTGATGCATTTTCCAGTACGTAATACAAATTAATAGAAAATTTGCAATTTTCGCAGGGCTATATTTTCCGCATTTTACAACATTTCGCAACCAAACTTTGCAATTTTACTAATTTTAACATGCTCTTTCTAGCTGTGGTGATGGATTTTGTTCTTCTTGCCTAGATCAAAATTTTGTCTATAGCTGAATCTCCATTATGAGGCAATCTTTTGCCGTCCAAATTCTTCAACTACCGATACATACATACATACATACATACATACATACATACATACATACATACATACATACATACATACATACATACATACATACATACATACATACATACATACATACATACATACATACATACATACATACATGAATGACTTTATTTAAAACACAGAGAACCGTCAGTAAATAATTATGATAATTAGCTATTTACAAAAGTTAATATAAGTTAAGGAAGAAGACAAGATTGAAGGGAAGAAGGAGAAGAGGTACTGTTCTACCTGGTTGCCGTGTGGGAGTCGGTAAGACTGGAAGAATATAGAGATTCCAGATTTCCTTTAAACGAGGAGAGGGATGATGATAATCTAAGAGATTCAGGCAAGCTGTTCCAAAGTGATGCTCCATTATAACTGAAGGAAGGAAAGATAATCAGTATTGGGCTTAGAAATAAACAACTTGCCATTGGAATTTCTTAGTGAATATTGACAATTCCTGGATGAAAACAATTCTTGTAAGTACTGGGGAGATTGACCATTAAGAGTTTTAAACATAACAACAGCTTTTTGTTTATGACGGTTAACCGACAAAGTGTCAGAAGGTGCAGGAAATGACGGGGAAGCAATATCCCGTACTCCTAACTTCCAATACTGGTAATGGTCAAGATCCTACTGTTTCTGTTTCTTCAGTTGAAAGTTTGAACAAACGTAGAGCATGTATTTTTGTTCGTAAATGCTTGCCATGGATTTGTACCCAATAATTTTGCTAGTTATTTCAAGATAAATTCTCACGGCATGGACACAAGAAATGCATCTTGTCTGATTCTATTACCTAAGATACATACCGAATATGCCAGAAATTCTTTTTATTATATGCGGGCAAAAACCTATATAATGATCTTCCAACTGACATCAGAAAGGTATCCAACTTTAGTATAATTACGTAGGTGATTATTGAAAATTCTCCACGCTGATTGGTTGCCGTTGAGGTGATTATTACGCGATAATCACCTAAGCGATTTTCAAAGTGGCAGCCGAAGAAGGCCGAAGCCTTTTTGTCAATTAAATGACGAAGAAATGTGTCTTTTCTTGTTGTTTTCCAAATAATCACCTATGAAATTATACTAAAACAATTATTCACCTCAGGCTCGGTGATTATCGTGAATAAAAACCTCGACTTCGTCTCGGTT